AAAAAGACACCAAACATGTCAAGCCTTAAAATTGCGTGAGCGCGCGAAACCTCAAACAACTATAATACCCAAAACTGTATAATAGCAAAGGCACACTGACAGGTCCTCTTTATGGAGACATTAGGGGTCTTCTCCCAAAAGAAGCTGATGAAGCAGAGATCTGCTTCATCAGCTTCTTCTCTTTTGCTATAGCAGCCAGATGACTGACAGGTGAATGCGGAAGTGATGTAATACACATCACTTCTGCATCGACAGCACAGAGGGAGGTCAGCAAAGGAGGAAGATGCTGATCTCCCTCCCATCTTACCTCCTGACACCCTACCGAGATGGGCTAGCGGATCCCGGCATTGAAGGCGAGGGGTCGGGGATTGGCGACGGTAGCACTCGAGGGGGGCACTCGGCCAGCACATATACCCGATCGGCAGGCTATAGAGCCGCCGATCGGGTATATGTGAAACTGCCGGTAACGGCTCTATACTTTGGATGTTTTTTTTCTGCCCGGGGGCGCGCGCAGAAAAAAATGCCGCCTGGAGACAGCAACCCGCCAATGCGACTGTGCCGTCCGTCCGTTTTTTGCAATGGGCGGACGACAACTGGTTGAGTACCACATGCTGATGAATTTGTGAAAGATTTTTTGACTCAGGGGTAAGTGGTGCAATACATGTTGGCAGTTACTGGGCTTGGAGAGGACTGAGGCCAGATTGCTACCTATATAGTCAATACCATATTGTGTTGGTGTAATTACCATTATATAAAACTTCTGATATTCACCTGCCTACATGTGTAATCACTTGCAGCATATCAGAAAGCTTAATCCGAACCTACAGAAAGCTTAATCTGCATATACCCCTTCCTTAAGATTAATCATGTGCAAGAAACCATTAAGATAAATCAATTCATGCAGCTCCCCATGTATGACAAACAGGGTTAATAACGTTTCCTTTCATTTGCAAACATTTGTAAAATTTCAAAATGTAATACTTGCACTGGGAAAAAACTGGAGAACAGAAAAAAACTGATTCTAGTACTCACTGGAAATTATTTTTTTGTTCCATTGAAGAACGCAAGTCATTCACTTGTGTTTACTGCTGCAAACAGAAGGAAGGACTAGACACTTGCAAAAAACAAAACTGTAGCAAAGCTACAGTTAATTTTTAACCCCTATCCCCTACTACCAGAATGGCTTTTGTAGCAAAGAAGTACCAAGAGGATAAATAAAAACCACAGAGGGCAGAACCCTCAATGGACTAATAAAAAAAATGTTATGTGGAGTACAAAAACCCAAATTTGCTTTCTCGTAGTTCTATGGAGTGATATAGAAAGTGATTCACTTTTGGGACATTGAAAAGCAGTCTGAGGATGGGGGGAAGCAATACAGCAAACAATAGCTGGTCTGCAGCTCAGAGCCGCAGGAGGGACCTTATGCCAGAAGCTGGCATCAGAAGAAGCCTGAAAATCCATCTGATAGTACATAGAATATGTGAACATGGATGCCCCTGTCTCTCAGAACCTGCGCTTAAACACCCATGCTATTAAAGCCAGGGGCCTTAAAAGGAGGATGGTTCCAAAGAGAAAGGATCTGGAAGAACTCATGGAGCATCCATCAGGAATCCTACCAGGTCAGGAGTACCACATTTGCCTGGGCAAATCTGGAGTAACATGGGAATGCCCTCCCATCTCCATCCAGCGTAGCACACTAGAAAAAAGTTTAAAAAAGGTGGGAAGGCATAGATTAGGGTGTACTGATTCTATGAAGGCACCAGAGCATCCACTACTTCACTTAGAGGATCCTGGTAACTGGAGACAAACCTGTCCAGTTTGTTGTCGAATCTAATTCCTCTTTGATGGGTGATGTAGGTCACTGCCATGGCATTGTCTGACTGAATTTGGAATGAGTGAACCTTCAGTAGGATAAACCAACAAAGCAGAGACAGCCAGATTACTCAAAGCTCTATAATGCAGATAGAGAAAAGATTCCTCAAGGATCAAGTCCTTTGAACTAACATGATGTCCACTGAACCCAACAGGCTGGCATCCATCATGAAGATCTTCCATAAGGCGGGAAGTACTTCACCCATTCCAGAGCCAGAATTCTGAGCCACCAGGTCAGAGACAACCTGTCCTTTGTGCCAAAGGAATCTGTCCAAGTACAGGACTGAATTGTCCCACAGCAAATTAATATTGCATTGTAGGGGTCTGGAGTGAAACTGAGTAAAGTGGAACTTGCCTCATAAGACTACCATCAGACCCCTGGACATAAAGTCTGGGAGCCAAGAATGTGAAGCTTTCCTGAGGGAGAAATGATCAGGCCTTTGTTGTGTTTGGGACTAGACCAAGATACTCTAAACTATGAGTGAGTTGTAGTGCTGATTTCTGAGGGTTCAGCGTTCATCTGAACCATAGGAATATGGACAGTCAAGGTTACATTACCGGACCAAGCCTGCACCGACCTCAACACAAGGTTGTCTAAGAATCCCTCAACCGGGATGCCACAAGAGTGCAGCAGGGCTAGTACAGGCACCAGAAGCTTGGTTAACACCTGAGGTTCAGACGAGAGGCTGAATGACAAGTACTTACAGTGACACTAAACTAGAAGCCTAATAACTACAATCTCAGGTTTAGGTTACTAATTTGTATTGAGATTGTAGTCCATCATGGGAGAGAGCTTGGGGTGGTGGCTTCTTTAAAACACACACAGGGACCATGGGATGATTTGACGATCTACAGCTGAATACAGAAATGAGCTACATTTCTTTAGTTTTAGGATTTAACTCCTGAGTGTAGTCTCACTTTAAAGTTCAGGAAACCGAGCAAAGCATAGAAAACACTGGTACACTGGAGATATGGGGACATGGGAATATCTGTCCCTATGGTCCACCGAAGCCAGAATTTTACATGGTGAAGAGAGGCAATAAAAAACCTGGAGAATTACACGCAGAATTTTGAGCTTGAATTAAGACATTCAGTGCTTTGCAATCCCAAGGTGGGGTGGATGCCCCCTTTGGGTTTGGATATTGAACAGGCTGAAGTATATCCCCTGAAACCATTCTGCCATGGGAACTAGGGCAATGGCATCACGATCTAGAAAATCCAAGAGGGCTACCTGGAGATCTGCTAATCTGAACATAGGAAAGTTGGAGGGGAGAAACGGACGAGGAGCCTGGAAACCACCTTCCACACCCAAGCATCTGAGATACAAGCTGTCCAAGTGTCCGCAGCCACTTAGACTTTGGAATGTGTCTGCGCCTTTATGAAGAAAACATTATGCTAGTAAATTTAGATGGTCTTTTTCCAGTCGATCCGAAGAAAGTTGTCCATCATTCTAGGATATCTGCAAAAATTGAGGCAGGCTGGTAATAGGAGTTTATGCTTGACTAGTCTAGTTTTTTGCTTGCTAGTGTCCCCATCTTTCTGTAGGCGGCAGTATAACCCAGAAGTGAATGACTTCCTGTGTGTCCCTTAACTGACAAGAAAGAAAATGCTTTTGTTTGCTTGGAAATCAGAAAAGCAGGCCCGATTTAGCAAATATACAGAAAAACAAAGCAGGATGTCCTCTAGATTGCCAAGATATACAATTATTAAATCAATAAATCCTAATATGCATCTGCAATTAGGACAAAAATACGAATTAGCCACTTTCAGTTTACTTACAGTGCAGCAGTCTTGGCTGCTAAAACCAAACAGTAACCGTAATATATGATAAAAACATGTTTATTAATTGCAATATATTTCACAGCTTAAGCTTAAAATAATTACAAAAAAACAAAGCATTAAAAAAATTCTGAACACCGAAAAATGCATCTATAAAATAGATGGCCTAGGAAACAAGCAAAAACACTTCAAAATACTGAGCAAATTGCAATTCACACACTTCACAGTTTACAGTATTTTGGCAATAGCTAAATGGCTGTACCACATTAAACTTTCTATGTATGAAAATAAAGTTTCACTTGATAACACACGGGTGATATTTACATCAGTAAGAGATGTAAGCTACCAAAAATACAGAATGAAAAAAAAAAATTTTGTCCACAACGTTTCCGAATTCTAGACATCGGTTTGTACACACATTACAGAATATTTATAAATCAGCAGGAAGAGAATATATACAGAGCAATGCTCCAGTCAGTTTTGATCTGAAGAGCCATGCATGTGATATCAGTTTAAAAAAAAAAAAAAGCAAAACACTTAGACAAATGTTTTATAAAGCCTATTTTTTTTTACAGCTTATTGGATACAAAACCATTTTTTAAAATGTATTATAATACACACATCTAATATTGAAAATACACTGTGATGAAATACTTACCTGGGTACATGTAAAAATTCT